TTTTTTAATAAATATCGTGCCCATGGTAAAGATACCTGTGTACAAGCATAACTTCAACATGGTAGTGCATGAGGAAGAATCCTTCTAGTCTTAACAAACTCTACGTAATGACTAGGGTCTCATCTCAGACATCAGGCTATGATTGTGTGATTTGACACTATTAATTGACTTTGATTATTGACGAATCAGACGGTTTATTTTGTAAAACTATATTATAAGATTCTGAAAATTTAAAGATCAAAATAATTGAAGCTATTAAAAACAAACAACTTTTTATCATGACTTTTCCAATTATTTGTGTTTTTGATAGCATAAATAATTTGGAATGAGAAAAGTATATTTATTATTGTTTAACGCTTGTAGAGTTTTATATACTCATATTTAACCTGTCAGTTTGAGTAACAGTGGATGAATAATAGTAGTAAATCAAAAGTTCAATAAGTTTATGATTTTTATTTCAAAAAACAGAAAAGGAGAAATGGATTCGTAAGTTTTTCACAGGAAAGAAATACATTTTTTGTTGATTAAGAATAGTTTTTTAATAAAAGATAGAATTCCATTTCAATATAAATATTTTCTCTAAGCGATTGTTTTGAAGGACAATCGATTATTACAACATTTTCATTGCATCTTAATACATAATACACAGTTTTTGACTAACATCTGATTAGTAAAGTGCATATGGATTGTACACAAAAATTCTGTACTTAGTTAAATTTCTAAATCTTATCGGTAGCAAGGAATGTGCCAATGGTTTTATTAACCCTAAATCATAGATAATCGTTTCTTTTGTACATTTTCTTCGTATATTTTATATGATAGTTTAGTGTGTTTTCTTATATAAATTTAATGTCAAAAACAGAAAACTATGGTTTTGTCGTTATCTTTATCATGCAGACTAATACGTTTATTTATTATCTTTTATTAGATTGTATATATAGTAAAGAGAAAATAGCTTTTCCGAAAATGAGATTTACTGAAAACATGTCAGAACAATTATAGTGTAGAACAACAGTCGCTTGTATGCGATATATCGACAGTGATCGATCGTTCTTTTTGGTGGTATGTCTTCGAGAATTAGTAGAAAGCGTCTTTTTTTTTTGTTGTTGATTTAATTTGTAAGTTAAGCAAACAATATACAATCCCAAAGAAAATTCTATCTCGATCACGTTTTATTCGTTTTTCTGTAAGCCTCTTGTTGATAATATGTTGTTTGGTAGTTTTAATGTAAATTATAATAAAAATTTTACTAGAAAAAATAGAAATCCTTTTTTTCTTTGTTAGTATAATCAACAAACAAATATATAGATATATGTGAATGTCTTAAGCAAAGTCTAACTTAACAGGATAATTTATTTTTTAAATAATCTCAAATCTATGAAATATTTTTTTTAAATATTTATGAATAATTCTAATTTTTACTACCATTAAAAAGAACATAACACGTATTTTATTTAATTAAGTGAGTACAAGATTCGTTTTCAATTTATTCAGATTATAATATAAATAACAATGCCTTTTATATGAACATGACACACTGATGTTCGGAACTACTTTTATAAAGGAACCAATGAACAGATTAGTTTTTTTTGAATATTGAATTAAGACATCTACGGAAGAGAATTCATGTTGTACGTTTATTCGTCCTACCACCAATATACCCGCAATAAGTTGTTGTCCGGTGAACAATTATTGATATACCGCGGTAGAATGATTTTCAGAAGATATCCGACTGTCTAAATATTAAACTATCGGTGAATACCGCTGGTATATTGGACAGTATATCAAATAGTCTACCAATGTTCTTTTGTCCGGTTTGAGCCACATGAAAACACTTAAGCTTAAAAAGTCTTGATTTTTGCTGTGAATAAAACTTTACAAGATAATTTATCCGTACTTCAAATATCATCTGTGGACCAGGTAAAATTCAAGGTTATATAAACATCGATAAAAGAAAATCGATTTCGCCATTCTCCTCGAAACTTTTGCGACCATTTCGCCTTATACTAGAGAAAAAAAGGGTAAGATGTGGGTCTTCTCTTCATGCCTATATCCTGTTGGAGAACTACAGATCGAGTAACATCGACGGTAGAAAAATGGCCAAATGTGTCGTAAAATTCGATAAATTTAATATTACTCTTCTTAATAAAATGTCTCTCTGAATATAAGAACACTATGAAAAATTAGATCCGTCACATTACCGGTAAAAGATTCTTCAACAAGCAATCACCGTATGTAATGAAAAAAATTGATAACGAACAAATATATTGACAGGAAAAATGAACTAACGAAAATTAAACTATGTGCAATGGGTATATTTCTGCTAAGCACTAAAAACCTAGAACTCTGAAAAACATTCAAACACTGGAAAATTTCTTGGCTTGTCAGAACATCTAGCAACCGTACTGTGAAGTATTCATTTTTCTGAAATCAAAAAACAGTCGAATAAAACTTTACGATTTACTCTCATTTAATGCGATCAGATTGTTATTAGATGCAATAAACAATAAAAAGTAAAAAAATTTAAATATAAAGTTGAACGTAGATTTTACCATTCGATTCGACCTATATAATTCTAAAACGTAGGTCAAGCATATACTTTGTCCTATTATTAGAATGATTATTCTGTTCTACCTGTATTTTTTTTCAGAGTTAGTACAATCATTTTTCTACGTTTAAGGCAAAAACATGAGCTAAATAGAATAATCTGTCAAAAGACGAAGTCTATGACTGATCTACATTATAGATCGCATTAGACTCTAGCACAATTTCATTTCATAGAAAAAAATTGAATCAATTTTTATGTGGCAAGTATGTTTTGAAAAAATTTCTTTATATTGTTACATCATTTTGAGTTGTTAATCTTTACTGATAGATAATACTGATTTTTTTATGCTTTTATTTTTTCGAACTATTAGAATTAATATTTTATTACTTTCATTGACCTTTGATTCTTTCAATGATAATCATTAACAGATATAATGAATAGAAAATAGTTTAAAACGATTATGAACACGCTACTAGAATTATTCATCGTTATATTAATCGATAAGATGGGTTTATAAGAATCATAAATTTTAACATAAGTTAAAAATGTGAAATTTCTACTTAATAAGAAATAAGTTGATATAGAACTGTCGAGATTATCATGTGTCTTTTAGTTATTAAGCAGATTTTTATTTGAATACAAATGTTCTTATCTTATGAATAATTTTTTCCAGTATAAAAGTCTTTCTTAGTCAATGAGGATCGATTTTCAATTATAATTAATATCTTAAGAGATAGTAAGTGACCATATCTCGAAAACTAACTTTCAAATGATGATGTATCTTCAACATTACTCCATCTATTGATTTTGGTAATTTTCTTAATATTCAATTTGATGCAATTAATGATATTGTCTGACTGATTACTATTAACATCAAATGTATGTATGGTTATCAGTCATATAATTGGTGTGTGAATCAGTCAAGAAACATATGGCTCGACTTGGACATCAACATAACCAGTGCTCGCAGCTTACACTTTCTTTACTTGTAATTGCCGTTTGATTCGATGTTAAACTATAGAGGTTATAATATCGATGGAATTTTGAAAGAACAATTTATTGTATTTGATTTGTTTAAACAATCAATGTTGAATTCTAACAGAATAGATCTTTCTTTATGAACATATAAGCTGCTATAATTTCCATCAGTTATCTAATTTGAATTTAAATTGAAATGTAAATATGGTTTTTATGAATTCGATAATAGTATATCTTTTCCTAAAATTGGAAAGGCTTCAATAGGTAATCTAGATATAGAAAAATTTATTTCTTAATGTAATCATCTTTGATTGTGAACGATGAATAATATAAAAAACGAATTTTTATTCGATGTTTAATACTTGCCTAAATCTATATTTACATGTCCTAGGCAAAATTTGTTTTTAAATAATCGAAAATATACGACATAATTTATTTTTCTACTATTAAAAAGACATTGTCCGTACTTTATTTCATTAAATCTGCATAGTATTCGTTTTCAACTTATTCAAACTCAATGTTTTACTCAAATTTTCTCTTCCGGAGGAGCTATTTAAACTTCCAGAAGGGTCAATCCGGTTTTTGAAGGAATGTCGTCCCCTCAGTTCCCACACTGAATAAAACACTCTGTTCAGATTGTAGTGTATGCAACAATGACTTTGAAAAATGATATTCAAAACTACTTTTATTACCAAGTTAGTCAACATATTAATTTTTTGAATGTCGAATTCAGATAGAAGACAGATATTATTTTCCGGAATAGCTTCCATGTTGTATGCTTGCTCGTACTACTACCGATATTTCGACAATAGATTGTCTGTCGGAGAACAACTGTCAGTATATTGACGTCTTTTTTTTTTGTTACTACCGATGAATAGTACTGATATATCGAACGTTCTGCCTATGATTTTTGTCCAGTTTGAATCACATAGAAATATTTAAGCTTAAAAATTTTCATTTTTTTTTGCTGGTTGAAAAGTTTAGCTTAATAAAATTTAACAAGATGATTTTATCTGTACTTCAAACATCATCTATGTTATCAGACAAAATTCAAGGACATATAAACATCAAACAAATAGTAAGCTTACAGCAATATTTTTAGCCAATGTGGAAGGCGCGTTCTCCATAAGAATCGACCCCCTTCTTCTTCTCTCCTAGGAAAAAAACAATTAGATTAAATACTAGCTTGAATGTTCTTTCATTTCTTTTAATCGACCCATTGATAAACTTCTATAAGTTTAACAGCTATACTCATTAAATTTTAATTCAATACAAAAAATACGAAATAAATTTCAAAAAATATTTGTTTCTTTTCATGTATTTTAAATAAAATTTATAATTAAACAACTTTAAAACTATATTAAAATTTTGCCTAAATCTCAATTTTGTCTGACACATCAATATAAATATAGTTAGCAGAAAAGCATGGCAAGAACAACAATAATTCTGCATCGATTGTTTAATTGATTGATTGTTATGTCTAGAAAACAAGAAAAATACTATGTTATTATTATTATTATTATTATTATTATTGTTTTCTTTAGACATACTTTTGTCATTGGGGCAAGTTCACGTCGCATTGAATAAGCATCTTCACCATCAGCATAATAACGTGGATCACGATCATGAATTCTAATAGAAAGAAAAAAAAAATGATTATGATTTTCAATTTCGTTTTTATTCTTTTGAAATAAATAACTTACGTAAAACCAAGTGCATCTTGATAAAGATGTAATGCTGCACGATTACTAACACGTACATGTAATGAAACATATTTAGCATTGAAATTTTCTATCATTGCTCGATTTGCTTGTTCCATTAATTTTTGTGCTAAACCAAGACGACGATGTGTTCGACGAACAGCCTAAAAAAAAAACGATTCAAAATAAAAGAAATACTAAGAATTAATTAATAAAAAAAAAATTTACCAAAGATGTTATATGTCCATGTGGTATTGTATCGTCACTATCATCTTCTCTATGAAATTATATTTAATGAAAAATAAGATATGTTAAAACAAAAATAAATAACAAAAAATTGTTTACATTTTTGCTAAAACATAACCAACAATTTTTCCATTATCATCTTCTGCAACATAAGATAATTGTGGCCATGATAAACCATGATAAAAATAATATTTAAGTTGATAATTTTCAGGTAAACAAAGTAAATTACAAGTTTGCATATTTATTAAATCTTCAGGCTATAAGAAAAAATATTTTCATACAATTAAATAAAATAAATCTCACTTACAGTAGCATTTCTTATAATCATTCTATTTATTTATTTTTAACCTTGAAATATAAATTAAATATCTAGAAAAACAAAACAATATATATGAATCCGATTATTAATTAATCAAAATTTATAGAAAGATTCATATTATTATAGAACAATGAATATATAACTTTGTCAAAATAATACTCAGATAGTTAACGAGAAATCATATAAACGACGAAAGAACATATTTACTACATCCATCGAATAAATATACGCAATAGACTCATTCATCTCTATCTAAGTAAGTATTCTGTAACGATTATTAATAAAAATAATTTTTTATTTTATTTTGACAAAATATATTAAACTTTTTTTCAATTTGTAGAAATTCGGATTGAAATCAAGAATTTTCTATTTATATGTCAATTAATATAAGAATTGCAAAAATTTATCTACACTCCATTGATCTTATATGAGATTTTAATCAAAATAATTTGATTAAAATAAAAAAAATATTTGTCTATCTGTCAAATTCTTAAAGAAAAAAATCATATTGGTAATTATTCATTACCTATAAAAAAAAAAAATAAAAATTAATTTTCAACATATTTCTTAGTGACATCTATAAACAAATCAAAATTTTTATTTCAATGAAATTAATTTAATAATAAAAAAATTTTTTCAATAATTTTTCTTTAATTTTTTTTGTATATTAAAATTTTATTTTATTTTATTTTCTAATTTCTCAATTCTTAAACGAACGTGAGAGTCGGGAGTAACATCTTGAGTGGAGTTTCACATTCTCTTTAGATTCATCATGGCTGTTCCTGATGTCGGTGCATGTATGAGTTCGGATTGAGAGAAGAACAAAAAAAAAAAAAAAACTCAACGTAAACAAATAAACATATAATGATTAATAGAACAAAAAACATGATTATACAAATAATTTTATTTCGTATTCTTAACAATTTTCAAATATCTTTAAGATCGATAATGCGTCGACGACGTCGTCTATTTTAATGGCCAATACTGGCCAAAATTATCATCAAAAATTAAAATATTTATATTTTCATAATAATAATATTAATAATAATAATAATAATAAAAATAATAATAATAATAATTCATCTGTTCTCCTAAATAAAGTACCATCATCACCATCTGTATGCACTTCGACACACCATCAACAAACGATGACAAGTTCGTCGACATCTCCTTGGTATCATTTATCAACACTTGGCGATGATAACGATGGTTCATCAACTTGTGATGGAACAAATTTAACAACAATGACTAAACCATTATCATCACTTTCATTAAATATTGATTCAACAAATACACATCAACAATCATATGAAAGTTATGGACATTTTTTTGTTAAAAAAACATTTCATAAACCAACATATTGTCATCATTGTGTCGAAATGTTATGGGGTCTTATTGGACAAGGTTATTATTGCGAAGGTAAATATTATAAATAATTGAATTAAATAATATATATATATATTTTTTGTTTATCTTTAGTATGCAATTTTATTTGTCATGATCGTTGTCGAAAACATGTCATTTCACCATGCTCAAGCATTGCACCTATACTAATCAAAGTAAATTTATTATTCATTATTGATTTAAAAAGTATAATAATGAAGTTTTAAAACATAAAAAGATTATCTACTAAATTTTTTTCTTACCTGTTATCAATTATTTTTTAATGAATGCTATCGTAAAGCAACTTTTTCGAATTGAAAATTCGACAATCGGTTTTCCTGAAAGAGATCATAGTAATAAGCTAACAGCATTTAGTCTCAACTCAAAAGTGATTTATTAGTTGGAGGATTTCCTTCATCAGACAAGTTGTTCTCCTCATCAATGGTTACGAGAGTAGGTCTGATCAACTGTTTATACTATCGAAGACATCAATATTCTATTTTGATAGGCCTAAAAACTTCAATAAAATTACTTAGATGAAGATGTCTGGAAAATCAAGATCTCCAAAACTAGTTTTCGAGCATCTAGTTGAAACTTTTTGGGAATGAATCTTATTTGATAGAGTGGAAATAAATGAAATCTTCTATTAAAATTAATTTTGATTCCTAAACTTATATTTTTTTTTTCTTCCTTTTAATTATTTTAAGAATCCCGTGTGCCATATATGGTCGGATATATCCCGGTTTAAACGAAAATTTTGCAATATATGTCGAAAACGACTTGAAGATATTTCAGCTGTACGATGTGAAGGTATGTTTTTTTTTTCTATCTATAGTCAATATCATATATATATATATTGTATTGTATTGTATTCAGAAAATTTCATTCAGGTAAAAATTGCTAGAAAAAAAAAAACAAAATCTTACATATTACTAATAAATAATTTGATATTATTCGTAATAATAATAATAATAATAATAATAATATATCTTAATATTTGTTTAGTTTGCGAATATTATGCCCATGAAGATTGTAAAGATTTTGCTGTTAATGATTGTCGTGAAACAGCTACATATGCACCAACAAGAGATAATGTAAAAATAATGAATTTTTATATTAGTTTTGTTATATGAATTTTTATTTTGTTTTTAGTCAACAACATCAGTTAGACATCATCATCATTGGCGTGAAGGAAATTTACCAACAAATTCAAAATGTGCAATTTGTCGTAAAACTTGTTGGTCAAGTGAATGTCTTGCTGGTATGAGATGTGAATGGTGTGGAATAACAGTAAGTAAAAATTTTTTTCGACAAAATAAATAATCGAAAAAAAATTTTTTTTTTTTTTTTTTTTTTTTTCTTAAGACTCATAGTACTTGTCGTTCACGTGTACCAGAAGAATGTGGTTTTGGTACTTTAAGAGATATTATTATTCCACCATATGCTATATCAATTCCACGTATAGCTGATCTTAATAAAGATCTTATATTGGGTATTGGAAATAATATGTCGAAACCCATGCAAAATATTACTTCACAATTATATAATAATAATGTTCTAACAGGACCTGATCCTATAATAAATCCAACATCAGAATCAAAAAGTGGTTTACCCATCGGTAAGTGAAATAAATATTTACATCGTTTCTTTTTTTTTGGTTATTGTTGAATTGTCTCCTACCCTCAGTGCCCGTCGAACACAGATATATTTTTGTATTTGCACTTTGATGTATACTTTTTGTAGTAATACAACATAATTTTAATGATATAACAAAAGGAGAAAAAAGAATTCTTCGTTCAAATTTTGTTCGACGTATACAACGACAATCATCATGTATTTTACCAAGAAAAAAACATACGATGTCACAACGACCCATTCAAAGGGGTACCAATCATATATAGATAATCCAGAATATTTAGCACGTTTATTTCCTTTTGCCTGCATGGATCTATGATTTTTGAGCTTGATCTTTTTTTTTTCTTCTTTATATATATTTTATGCTGCATTTTTTTTTTGTTGTTATTAAATTTCGAATTATTGTTTTTTTTTTCTTTCTTTTTTTCAGTGAGAAGTTCATCAACAGAACATCCATCAAGTGGTGATGTTGATCTTGGTAGTAGTATTGGAATAGAAAGAGATCATCGTAGTCGTGCAAATGAAGTTTTTTCAAGTTCAAATGTACAAACAGAATCTATAACTAGTAGTAGACAAAAACGAGATAAACCACTAAGTAAAGGACAACAAGATGAAGAAGAAGAACGAGGTAAGATTATTACAGGGATTGGGGCTTAATTTTAATGTTAATAAAACTCAATATGATAATTATTTAAAATGATTGAGTTAGATCCAGCTTTGACCCTTTACGCCCGTAATGGTCCTAGTAGAAATTATAAAAATCGAGTATTGATTCCTCTAGTATGCTGAAGGTATGAACAGATCAATTGAATATCCCAGTTCTTGTGCAGGGTGCTCTGTTTATTTCTAAGACCGTTGCATCAAGAAGAGTGATTTGAACAGATCTTATCTTTTTTAAACCTATTATAGATAGTATTTCAGCTTCTCCTATGAGAAGGTTTACACAACAACTACACACATTAGTCTTTATTGCTCTCTGTCTGTAGTTCGTCGAGCTCTCGGAAAACTTTCGAAACATATCTAATTGACTAGTACGCCGTTTAATCGATCTATATCTTACAACAACTTCTGAAAATCTCTGCTACCTGTAGATAGAGAATCTTTTATTCTAAAAAGTTTGTTTTGGAAATTTAGTAAAATGATCATAACTCAACTCCAGAGTTCTGCAAACACCAACTCTTTTCTAGTCTGACTGAGATTTCCATTGTGAACTCAAACAACAGGTAGTTTCCTCCTTTGGGCAAAATCATTCGTTAACGAAGTGCATAAGCAACTTTCCTAGAACTAATTTGATCTAGATCTTTGTTCAGAGAAGGTATCAAAAAAAACAACTGGCATTAGTGGAATGACGTGGATTTTAGTTTTAAAAATCTTTATACGTAATTTTTGTGTTGAATGTGTCTAAATTTTTCAAAGAAAAATCGATTTACTCCATGAAATACGAATTTGTAAACAAAAAAAAAACTTAAAGTTCCGATCTCGCTGAAAATTCTTCATAGATACAGTGCATGTCGTAGAGTATATTCTGAAGTTTTCGGAATTTCTTCTATGTTGTAGAATTACTTTTTAATTCATAGTCAGTTTAGAAAGTCAACATTTTTACATTATGTCTATACTAAAAGAATTTATTCAGAAAAATAATCCTCCTAAAGAATCAAAGTCAAATGTAGAGAACTGTGGGTTCGAGTTCAACATTTTATTTTTTGTTGGGACCGGTTACACATTTTTGTGGATCGACTGATCTTCAAATGAGAACTACAACAACAAGATATAACTGTACATCGATTTTTTTCTCCTGAGAATAGCAAATAAATAGCTAAAATCTTGATCTTTCATTTGTTTGCGTATACGAAGGATATCAGGTATTGATGGAAAAAAATCTCGAGTTTGGACTCGCAGCTCCATAAGTCGAATGAAAAGTGAATATGTACTGATCAAAAGATAAAAATGAAAAATATTTATTTAGAAATAATTCGAGTTTATGATGGTAATGCAACTTTTCGTAAAGGCACTCCACGTTCTATATCCGTATCTAAACAAGCAACTTATACCCAGATTCTGGTATGTCTTTAATAAAAATCTCTTATTAATAAACAAAATAAATGTTTGTTTGATTTTAATAGGAGGCTGCTCTCCGTACATTCCATATCAATGATGATAGCACAAAATATTGTATAACTATACCTACAGATGATGGTATAGAAAATAATCAAACAAAAAAAAAAAAAGAACAAAGAACTTTATTGTGCTTTCTTTTTTTTTAGTTGGTGGTGATCAACCACTTGATGAAACAATGCCATTAAAATCTCTAAAACAATTAAGTCGTCGTAAACTTAATATATATATTCGATATAAAGAACGAGGTGATATGGATTGTGATTATGTTCGAGTTTATCCAGGCATACTTAAGTATGAAGAAACAAAAAAAAAAAAAAGAACAAATCTTATAATGATTTTATTTCTAGAACTCATGATTGTTTTAAAGTTATTAAAGTAACATCATCAACTACAACAACTGAAGTTATTGCTAAAGCTTTAGCAGATTTTGGTTTAACAAATGTAAATGCTGAAAAATATTCGCTGGTCGAAGTATTACTTATATCAAATGTTAATTATACAGATCGAATATTAGAACCAAATGAATATCCTTTACATGTTTTACGACAACAGAGAAAAGTAAAAAAAAAAAAAATACAATTTATCAATAACTTTTTTTTTGTTTTCTTTTTATAGGAATCTGTTCGTAGTCATCGTGTAACACGTTTTTATTTACAACATAAAGATGATCCACATGGACCATCTGTATCTTTATTTGTTGGTAATTTACCACCAGGACCACGTACAGAAAAACAATATGAAAAAATACTTTTTCAAGATATATTTAAATCAAATAAAGATTTAAAATGGGATAATATGGAAGTTATTTATTATGAACATGGAGCAATGGTATTAGTTTATAATGATAGTGATCGTGCAACACGTGCATATTCAATATTACGACAAGCATATCATGATCAAAAACAATTATTAGTATTAATGTTACCTAATATTCAACCACAAGTTATACCATCAAATATATGTCCATTACTTGTTTTTGTTAATGTTAAATCAGGTGGACAACAAGGTGCAGAATTAATAACAAATTTTCGTCATTTACTTAATCCACATCAAGTATTTGATTTACAAAATGGTGGACCATTACCTGGTCTATATGTTTTTCGAAATATTCCACATTATCGTATATTAACATGTGGAGGTGATGGTACAGTTGGTTGGGTACTTAGTTGTTTAGATAATGTTGGACAAGATGCTTTATGTCAATCACCACCTGTTGGTATTGTACCACTTGGTACTGGAAATGATTTAGCACGTGTTCTACGTTGGGGTTCAGGTTATACAGGTGGTGAAGAACCATTAGCATTGCTCAGGGATATTGTTGAAGCTGAAGAAATTAAATTAGATCGTTGGACTGTTGTTTTTCATCAAGATCAGGATAAACGTATACCAACAACAACAACATCAGATATAAATAGTAGTAAAATAACAACAACAGCAACAACAACAACAGCAGCAACTAGTACAACAATAACAAATGCAGAAGATAAAAGAAAACAAAAACGAAAACTTAATTTACCACCACCAGCTGTAGCTTTACCGGTTTGTCAATAGTTTTGTTTTTTTTTTTTTTTTATTAATCACAAATTTTTCTTTTATAATTAACCAAAAGTTTTGAATAGGATTGCAACAATGACAGTGATCTCCGGTTCATCGTTCGTCCCTAATAGCAGTGCATCGGCCTTACGCTAAGCGCTACATTGTAGACATCTACGTGACCATGATTTTTTAGTCACAAAGATTTTTCGGAACTAATATTCATTTCAAAATTAAAAAACCGATTAAAAGAGGAAATGAAACTGCGTCGAAACTTGGATACCAGATTTTTCTACCAAGTTTTTTTTTTCAGGATTGTTCACTAAGTTTCTTAGAAAATCGATTCTTTTTAACAGGTTTAGAAGGTGGGACTGTCGTCAGAAATCTGCCAAAGACACGTAGTAAAGTGTTAATAAATCGTGATTGGCTAAATCTTTTAACACCGTTATTGAACTTTCATTAACGATTCTGGTGCACTACTGAAAATTAAAATTTCAAAATTTTTACATAACACAATGTTTTGTGTTGAAGAAACTACTTAGCAAATGGTCCTGAGAAAACTTGTCAGAAAAATCTCGTATTCAAGATTTGATGCAGTTTCATTTCCTCTCTTAAACGGTGAAAATCACAGATTTCTATCTAGTTTCTACCGAAAACTATTCATCCTTCTTTTATTTTGAAATGGATATTAATCATAGTCACGATCATACCTATGGAGAAGATTTGTTATTTTCATTTTTCCACTTTTTTTTTACTCAAATGTCCTCGCCAAAGTCATGTCATAGTCACGAGCTATTTGGTCACGGCTATGCATGACCGTGACCATTTTGTAAACATAAAACTTGGTCTCGCACATGTCTAGTCGAGAGAGATCTATTTCAAGACTATCATTATCTTATCATAAGTTCACCATTAGTCGTCTATACGGACATGTTTAGACGAGTACACTATCATTGTTACATCCTGCATTTTGAGTAAAAAGAGAGAAAACAAAGACCAACTAAAATGATAGAAAATATTCATATGAGTTGAATAAATTAATTATAAATATTAAAAATATTTTGTTTTTGTTTTTTAATTTATTAAGATTGCTTTACAAGAAGGTTCAACAAGTGAAGATAAAACTGAAATGTTTGTTATGAATAATTATTTTGGACTTGGTCTTGATGCTGATATTTGTTTGGATTTTCATATGGCAAGAGAAGAAAATCCAAATAAATTTAATAGCCGGTATGAATATCTTTTTCCTTTTGTTTTTTTTTTCTTACTTGATGTATTTAAGAATACAAGCAAAAGGTTATTATCTTAAAACTGGTTTAAGAAAAATGATGAAAAAAGGTGGTTTAAAAGATTTTACAAGAGATATTGTACTTGAAGTAGATGGAAAACGTGTGGATTTACCATCACTTGAAGGCATTGTTATTATGAATATACTCAGGTAAAAACAAATCAATTAATATTTTGTTAGAGAACACTCGACGTCTTCTATTCCGAGGATGGGACTTAGTCGATGTTTTGCCATATTGTTAGAAGTAAACGAAAAATAGATTGATTTTTGCAGTCTTAGAAATTATCTACAGAATATATTATTTAATTTTGTTTCAATTCGAAGATTTTTAAAGTTAAAATGCATGAAGTGAAAGTCGATATTCTTTTTATTTGTGTCACATCGCTAACCTCTAGGGTGTTTTTTTTACTGATTACTTCTCTGAACAATGGTTTCTAGAGTGACGCAACAAACAGTTGCAGGAAAGTTTATCATTCCGAGATACAAGTCGTTAACAAATGATTTTTGTTCAAAACAAAAATTTTCGGAGTACGATATGGCTGCTTAGCGAGAGATTCAATAGCTCGATATTTTCTCTACAACTATGAATAGCTGTAATTTCGAACAGAAGACCAACCTAACGTAGAGTTCTTACGCTCAATCACTTAAGCTTTGCATACACATTAACTAAACATAAGGGCAAGTGTACATCACAATGTAATCCGTATCTATCTTCAAATATCAAAAGATAAATTTTATATAAATTAATTGTGTAATGCCAACAATGTTGGAGTATCAATCTTAATCTAGAATGTTAATGCAAAAGAAGCAGAATCTTTCAAACGAGATTAAAGCGACATCCTGACATTAAATTATTCAATTCATCGAAACATCTTTTGTCTGCATAACTGACCCTTTATCTCAGCGTGAAGGTGCGAAGCGCTCCCGAAGAGCCGTGAGATCCATGCTTATCTCTATGTACACAGTGATAAGTATAAATTCAATTATCATAATAATTTGAATGCAAAAAAAAACTTTATCTTTTCCACTTTTGTTGAATTTTGAATTATTTTCGAAGTCGAAAGAGATAGCTACTTATTACTAAGACATAAAAATTTAAATATATGAAAAATATTTTTTGATTTTTTTAGTTGGGCAAGTGGTGCCAATTTATGGGGACATGAAAAAGATGATAAATTTAGTCGACCAACACATTATGATGGAATGTTAGAAGTTGTCGGTGTAACTGGTATTGTACATCTTGGTCAAATTCAATCGGGTATTCGTTCTGGTGTTCGTCTTGCCCAAGGTGGACATGTAAGATTTTGTTTTATTTTCTTTTAAATATTACAAAAAAAAAAAAAAAAATTGAATATTTTAGATTCATATTCGTATGAATAATGATTATCCAGTACCAGTTCAAGTTGATGGTGAACCATGGCTTCAACCTCCCTGTGACATAACTATAATACGATCAGCACTTAAAGTATAAAATAAAATGAAAAATTTTTAAATCTCTATTTTAATATTTAGGCAACAATGCTTCGAAAACGTAAATCTAAGATTAAACGTCGAAATACAGAACCAAGTGTCTATTTTCCTGATGGAGATGACGATTCAAAATGTTGAAATCTTTTTCTTTTTTTCTTTTTTTTTCTCAGCTGGTCTGAGATAAACATATATATGTATATATATATTTATCTCCAGAAAAAAACAAACCATTCTAGTCATTATATTTTGCATAGAATATATTGGTAACGTACGCGCGTCTCTCCTCTTTTTCTCTCTTTCTCTTAATGTATACATATCAAAAAAAAAACAAACAAACAAACAAACAAAACAGAAGAAAAGTAGAATAGAGATTTTTTCTGGAATGTACGCGTGCATAATATTTGAATATCAGACATAGATAAGCAGAAAAATATTATTTAAAAAAACAATTCAATCTCAGTCAAATTCTAGTCGCTGTTGCTGATTGTTTTTTTAGGCAAAATTTTTTTCTCGCAATTATTTGTCTCTATCTTTTTTTTTTCTTTGCGACTGAATAGTGTGTTTTTGTGTTTGTGTTTTTAGTCCTTTCGTTTCTTTTCTTTTCTTTTTTTTTTTTTTTTTTTCAAAACATATTCTAAATTATACATTAATAACTAAACTACTAGAACAGTGATTCTTGTTCGTATTTACCTTATAGATACTTGTGCGGTTTTTTTTTCTCTTTGTCACAAAATGCTATCTATCCTTTCGTTTGTTTCTTTTTTTTTTTTTTTTTGTGTATAACCGCAGAAGATTCTTGTCAAGTGTATACGTGTGTGGATGTCTATTTCTCTCATGACTGTTCTCTGTGCGCGTTCTTTTTCTCCCTCTGGAGATTATTCTTTTTTTTTTCTCGACAATTCAAATAAATATAATACATTAAATATATTGATTTTGTCTTTGTTTTTGTTTTTTTTTGACTGAAGAGTTAGTGGATTGAAGGAAAGAATATTCTATTTATTTTGGATATTGATGAAGATTGAGAGAATTAAACAGTTGATCATTGGATAAATAAAATTCTTTTAAATATAAAAAATTTCTTTTTATTTTCTCTATAGATTTTTTCTATTGATATATTATTGACTTACTAATCATGGAAACTGCGGGTGCTACATCATCATCGGCTACACCACCAAATATCTATGGTGGATTAGAAGGACCTGAATCAATGTATTTAAAATTAATTTCATCTGATGGACATGAATTTGTTGTACGTCGTGATTTTGCTATAAGTGCATCACCAACAATAAAAAATATGCTTAGTGGACCAGGACAATATTCTGAATCGCAACCAAATGAAATTTATCTTAAAGATATACCATCTCATGTACTTATTAATGTTTGTCGCTATTTTGCTTATAAAGCAAAATATACAAAGTAAAATTTTTTATTTTTCTTTCGAATTTTTTTATTAATATTTGTTTTGTTTTTTCTTACTGTCTTTTTTTAGTTCATCAATTGACATTCCGGAATTTCCGATCGATATTCAAGTGGTACTCGAATTACTTGTTGCATCGGATTTTCTTGATTGTTGAAATACTTTCGTCTTTTTTTTTTTTTTGTTTTTGAATATTCTGTATTGAATTTACTGCACAAGTTCTTTTTTTATCATTGAGGAATTAAGAAAGTTTGAAATTCATTTATTTGTCAATAAGCTAGGAAAGAAAGAAGCCTCGAACAAAATTATTATAATCGCCTCATTCTTTTTGTGTTTTAATATTAATAGAAAATCAAGCAATAAAATTAGATAAAACTTAATTATGTAAGTAAGATATAACAAGTACCAATGAATAAAGAATAAATAAAAATTTGATAAAACATTTTCAATGTTGAATTTTACACTTGTACAAATCGAAAAACTATCTCATTCAAGATAGTTCAATTGAATTCTTGAAATACTGTAATGATGTAATAGTGGTGTAATCAGAAGGAAGTTAGACAGGGCTAGAACTCGTCAGATCGGATCTGAACATTTTAGACCCAGTGAGCTCTAGAGAGGCTCATCTCCTCCTCTAGAAACCTTAGAGTCTTCCTACAAATGGTTGAATTCCACTTAAAAGGCTCCTTCTAGAAGTAACATCTGAGGAATTTGTGCCCTCTCCGCAGAGTCGGTCAGAAGGGCTGATGAGGAAGTCTCTTTAGGCGTCAAATCGCTTTTCGACCGAGACGATGTTCATTCGATGAGTAATAGAAAAATCTACAAAGGTTTAGTTTTCCGAGTTTTCGTGCTCGAGATAGTGAAATTTTACGGGATTTTTCAACAAAAAGTTGTGGTCCTTCTTAGGTCACATGAAAAATCGACTTTCGACTTCAAATTTTGCACGAACAAAGTTTTCAATGAGATTAATTCATTGGCTACGTTGTAACTTTTGTAGTATCTTCTATCTTGAGATATTCAATATCCGAGATTCTCTCCCTCATGTATAAAAGCAAATTTTGGTTGTAAAGAGCTTATTGATAAGAAATCGGATGGTAATATTCTCCAAAAACTGATTTGGGACATCGGAAATTTTTCAAAAATAAAATATTTATTTTTACGACGCAACGGTGGCGATGTGATTCAAATATCTTTAAAATTTTGCGGTTATTGGCAGCTCAGCCGATCGGCTTACATCTCTATTCATGATGTCAGAAGAATTAAATTTAGTGAGTCTCTATACGAACTGACGTATTTCTTTTTTCATAGTATTAACTAATGGTATTACTACTAGAAGGAGCAAAACAGTAGAATAATTTTTATTTATTGATTTTCTATCGTATTTACACGAAAAAGTATATGTTAATCTCTACTATCATAAGTTTAATAATATAAAAACATTTAAAGTTATATTAATAATTATTGAATTGTTATATTGTTGTGATCAGAGATATGCAAGGTATGAACAGCAAGACAAAATTTATCGAAACTCAAGTTTATTATAGTAAAACATTCTATGGTTTTAAGCAAATTATCTTATAAATCATTTGAATCAGAACATTATTCAAAAGATATGATGCGAAAAAGTACTAGTTGTCGATTAAATAAATCAAAGAAAAACAAGATATAAATAAATTCCGGAATAATTTTTCCTAGATCTGGACCACTAGAAAAGAAGTTGGCGGTGCTAGGACCAACAAAACTTGATCTCCGCATATCTCTCTAGTTGTGGCTAAGATGATATTGTAGGAGTAAATCCAATTATATCTATAACTAAGTTTTCTTCCAGATCCACTGTATAAATCAGCAAGATTCAACTCAGAAAACAGTGATACCTAGACGAGCAATAGAGACAGTTAGTTGATGTATTTAGTGATAAACGATTAATATAAAGATAGGAATTTTCTATTTGTTTCTATCAATTGAATCCATCAACAGATGCTTCATAGACATCTTCTCTATGAATATGTCAACGATCTTCAACAACACTATATAGAACTTTATGTATCTTTGTTTGCATATTGCTCGAATACCTAATATAGAAATGTAAGTCTCATCAATATAAAACATCCAAATTTCTTATAAATAAACTTTTCGGTTAACTTCTTTTCGACGATGTAACTTTCGTCAAAGAGCATACATATCGAATGAATCATCAGTGTGGCCAGGAAAATGACTTATTATGTTTGAATTCATTATATGTAGAAGTTTACTCGAGCGATGTTTTATTCATGAGAATTTTCGAAATTGAATATTTGTAGAAGAAGCTTCTACATTTAATCAAATTGAAGATGGTAGTGTTTACTCATCAATCTATTGGAGAAAGACTTGAGATATTAGGAAAAATGATGTAAAATCTCGAGAATTAGATATATTAAGTACAATTGAGATTGTAAAATTTCGGCTGTGTGACTTAATAACTTTGACTCAGTTGTAATAAAATAAACATTTGATGAGGATATATCAAATGAACGAAAGAACTGTTCAAAAAAAAAAAAAAACTTTTTATAATGGTTATATGTTTTCTTTTTCTTCTCACAGAGGTTAATATTCATCATATTTGTTGATGATGATTACAAATTTATACTTTTATGAGAAAACCTTCAATATTCATTTCAAGATCAATATAACGAATAGAAAACTTGTGAGGTATGATTCAACAAGATCCAATTATAAATATGAATATGTCAAACAAAAGAAAAAATTATTAATATATGATAAAATTTCAGTGTAGAAAAATGTGATAAAATGATTAATAATATTCTACAAAAAAAAAAAAAAGGTTGAATACAAGGTCAACATATTACAAAATTTAATTATTGATATTTATAGGAAACTTTTCGACGACCCCTCGAGAGTTGAACTTGTCGAACACTATTCGAGAAATTTGTCTTAATATTTTTTTTTTCATAGTTAACTGTAATTTGTTTTTTTTTCTGAAATGACTATATCTTTTGCATCCGTAATTGTTTCTTTAATAATCAATATTTTCTAACAATTTCAATTGTTAATCGTTTTTTCTATTTCATTACAATATTTGTCAAGTCTGTTTTTCTTTTCATTCATTATTCAAAATTGTCTTTTGTATATAATAACCATTGTCTTGACATAGACGACATTCAGCTGATAGTATATTCAATCGATTATGTTATTGTTTAGTATATAGCTTTAAATTGCCCTCTGGCGTATTTTCCATAACACATAGAATCGTTATACTTGACTTTTTTCTCCATCTATTAATTTCCTCTAATAATGATTTATTTATATTTTTTTTGTTTTGACTTAGATTTCATTAATATATACTCTATGACATTGTCTCAGGGTCATTGAACTGTTAAGTACGTTCATGTCGATCTTCGGCTGCATGTATAAAAACAGAATGATTTTTTACATCGTTTACATATATATACAGAATAAGCCAAAATTAAAGAAGAAAAAACAATTATTTTTTGGAATGTCTTCTGTATGAATGAATTATTCGTGCTGATGTTTATACTTCACATTCTTCGTGTAAAACGCATATCATCATTATTTTACTGTTTGATTGAAAAATTTTTTTTTTGTCTTAACGAGTAAATTCAATTCATTCAACAAAAAAATCTTCATGTAAATAAACAAGTAGAGAATAATATAAGTGGAACAAAAACAAAAGAAAAGATCAAATTTCTTGTAAAGTCGCATG